GCAAGCAACCACTATTAAGTTGGGAGTTACTAGGAAAAAAAAGAACAGAGTTATAAAGCAAGGAAACGGTTGACAGAAGACTTGAAAAGTTGAAGGTTGTAGGAGTCAGGAAAACATGAAGATGGGAGAGAGTTCCAAAGGATTGAAGTGCGGGGAAAAAAACTAGATGAATAAAAGTTTTTAGAGCATGCTGGGACAGATACAGTAAACGAATGAGACTTAGCTGAATGACGAGTAAAACGAGAATGAATTTTAGTTGATGGAACTAGAGATGATAACTCCTTTGAGCAGTGACCATGATAGTATCTGTAGAAAAGAGAAAGAGATGCAACTTTACGACGATGGGAAAGAGGTTCAAGCTTAGCAGATAGTCCAGGTCCAACAACATTTACAATGCGTTTTTGGACCTTGTCAAGAAGAGAAAGTGAATCGTTAGAAGAACCAGCCCAAATATGACAACAGTATTCCATACAGGGACGAATAAGAGATTTGTAGAGGTAGAGAATGGAATCAGAAGTAAGGAAATTGCAAGCACGATAAAGAGAAGCAACCTTAGCAGAAGCTAATTTAGCAATCGATTGTATATATGGTTTCCATGAAAGGTCAGTAGTAAGCGATAATCCAAGAAGACGTAAAGAGGACGACTCAGTAAGAGGATTGCCATTCATTAATATAGGAATGTTGACCATACTACGGTAGTTGTTTGCAGTAAGCAATTGGGTTTTTTTAGAGTTGAAATTCACAAGCCACTGTGAACCCCAATCTATTACTGAAGTGAGATCAGATTCAAGATCAGCTGCTTGTTCTAGGCGATTGAAAAGAGAAGACTTTTTGTCAAGACAGGAGTATAAAGTTAAGTCATCAGCAAAAAGAGCTACTTTAGATGAAAGGTTGTCAGGAAGATCGTTTATGTAGATAAGAAACAAAACAGGGCCCAGGATGGAACCTTGGGGAACCCCAGAAGTTACTGGAAATAAAGAAGAGTGTTGGCCTTCAAGGATGACTTTAATAAACCGGTCAGAAAGAAATGATTTGATAATCTCAAAAACTTTCCCAGAAACACCATATGAAGCAAGCTTATGGAGAAGACCAGCATGCCAAACTTTGTCAAAAGCTTTAGATATGTCGAGAGCAATAGCCCTAGCCTCACTGCCTCCATCTAATGCACGATAAAATCTTTCAGTTACAGCAGTTAGCAAGTCGGCCGTAGAGCGAGAGGATCGAAAACCGTATTGATTGTCTGACAGCAGTTTATTTGACTCAAGATGAGATGTGAGGAATTTGTTGATCAAAGACTCAAAGACCTTGCTAATAACAGAAAGAAGACTGATCGGACGATAATTGGAGGGGTCAGAATTTTCTCCAAAGTTTTTGAATATTGGAACCACAGATGCCATTTTCCAACAAGCAGGAAAACAAGACTCAGTCAAAGACTTGTTAAAAAGTTTAGAGAGAATTGAAGAAAGTTCTGGAGAACAATTCTGCAAGACTGTGACAGGAATGTTGTCTGGACCACAAGCTGTAGACGAGTTTAATTGAGATATGACTTTAGCAACAGAAGCCGGAGTGATTTGAATGTCTAACAATGGGTCAACCTGTTTGACTGGAATGGAAGGAAGAGAATGTCCATAAGATTCAAGAGTGGAATTAGAAGAAAAGTTCTTTGCAAACAGTTCTGCCTTATCCCTGGGAGAGGTAACAAGATCAGTCCCATGAATGAGATGGAATGTTAGATCTACCCTTGTTAACAATGGAATGTTAGATCTACCCTTGTTAACAATGTTGTTGAAGATTTTCCAAAAGTCTTTAGAGCCTAACTTCTGCGATAAGATGCGAGATTTAGTGGACTGAGAATAATGGAGTTTAGCATCAGAAAGCACCTTTTTACATCGATTTCTTGCAATAATAAATAGCCGTTTGTTCTCAAGAGAGTTGTTCTTTTGAAAAAGATGAAAAAAATGGTTACGATTGGATATAGCAGCCGCATAAGAAGGAGAAAACCATGGAGTAGAATGAGGCTTGACTTGAAACCGACGAGAAGGAATAAAAGCTTCCATTCCAGCCTGAATCCAGGAGGTTACGTAGGAGGCGCATTTGTCAGCTGAGAGAGAAAAAACATCAGCCCAAGGACCATCACGAAGAAAATCACGAAAGGAATCCCAGTCAGCTTTAGGGTAGTAGTAGGTGGTGCGATGATAAGGTGAGCCCAAAAAAGAAGTACGAGAAGAAAGATTTACAGAGATCATTGCGTGGTCAGAACCACCTAAGGGAGAAAAGGGAGAAACTGAACATAAGCTAGGGTCAGAGACAAGACATAAGTCAAGAAGTGAAGGTAAATGATTAGGGTTGTCAGGAAAACGAGTCACAAAGTTAACTATCTGAGTAAGAGATTGAGAAACGCAGAAGTTAAAGGCTTTAGTGCCAGCAGGATCAGTGGTGTTAGAGCCAAGCCATTCAGTGTGATGGGCATTAAAATCACCAACAACAACAATATTGGCAG